GCAACCAGCCAACATCTTTATCAACTCCACGGGGAGCATACAGCCGGTGCTGACATTTCGGCGCTCACAGCTAGCATTCTACAATTCTAGCACTCCCCAACCAAAGACTCATTTACAGCTGAGTAGACTGGAACAAGCGGAGTAAAGTATCTTGCTGAAAGATACATGTACAACACCGTGCCGTGCCGTGCCGTGCCGTGCCGTGACTCGAACTTGGACCCTTCGGTCACGAGCCCGGCGTCCTACCACAAGACTACCGTGCGTCCTACAAAACATCACTCTTGAGAATCCTATTGTAACGTAATGAAATTTGCATATCATTAAAAGGTAGGCATGCTCACTTTGCATTAAAATGTGTCTGTCATATTGAATAATGACAAAAAAGAGTATAGTTATCTTAAGACACGGCTCTGTAATATAATATTAGTCTTGACTAACTAGATTACCGTTTACAGTGTACAAATTATGGCTTTAAATTGTATTTATGACTTATAATTACATTTAGCAGGTAAACCTCCGAGCTTGCGTTTTAGTAATATGAAATACCAAATGTTCAAATGAAATCATACAAAAAGTGAGTTGGCAATATATTTCCCCCGGAAAGCCATACGGTGTAACAAATAGAGCAGAGTACAAAACCGGTTATTTCACCTAGCGATCATATACAAAAGGTACAGGCTACTCCACAGAGCGTGTCAAACACGTGTGATACCTGTGATAGTATGTATAGCTCTTTAATGGCAAACACATTATTTAAGTTTAAGGCAAAATGCAATGGCGTATCTATAAATGTTTAACCGTGCCAGAATACACGTTACTTCTGTGGTAAATTTTGTCCTTTGAAGATGAAGTTATATTTTGTCTTTATTTGTTGATAATGAGGTAAGTTGTTTCTTCGTCCATTGACACTTTGGTATATTTTGTCTTTATTTGTTGATAATGAGGTAAGTTGTATTTTCGTCCATTGACACTGTGGTATATTGTGTCTCTATTTGTTGATAATGAGGTAAGTTGTATTTTCGTCCATTGACACTTTGGTATATTGTGTCTCTATTTGTTGATAATGAGGTAAGTTGTATTTTCGTCCATTGACACTGTGGTATATTGTGTCTCTATTTGTTGATAATGATGTAAGTTGTATTTTCGTCCATTGACACTTTGGTATATTGTGTCTCTATTTGTTGATAATGAGGTAAGTTGTATCTTTTGTCTTTATTTGTTGATAATGAGGTAAGTTGTATCTTCGTCCCTTGACACTGTGGTATATTGTGTCTCTATTTGTTGATAATGAGGTAAGTTGTTTCTCCGTCCGTTGATATTATGGTATATTTTGTCTTTGTTTGTAGACAATGAGTTAAGTTGTATCTTTATCCATTAGACGAAATGGTATACTTGTACTTGTGTGTTGACAATACGTTTATTGTATCTTTGTCCGTTGATGTCATGGTATAGTTCGTCCTTGTTTGTTGACAGAAAGTTATATTGTATCTTTGTCCGTTGAAGTCATGGTATAGTTTGTCCTCGTGTTTTGAGGGTAATATATAGTATCTTTGTCCGTTGAAGTCATAGTATAGTTCGTCCTTGTTTGTTCACAGAAAGATGTATTGTATCTTTGTCCGTTGATGTCATGGTATATTTCGTCATTGTGTTTTGAGGGTAAGATACATTGCATCTTTGTCCGTTGATGTCATTGTATATTTCGTCCTTGTGTGCTGACAGTAAGATATAGTGTATCTTTGTCCGTTGATGTCATGGTATATTTCGTCATTGTGTTTTGAGGGTGAGAGATATTGTATCTTTGACCGATGATGTCATGGTATATTTCGTCCCTGTGTTTTGAGGGTAAGATACATTGCATCTTTGTCCGTTGATGTCATTGTATATTTCGTCCTTGTGTGCTGACAGTAAGATATAGTGTATCTTTGTCCGTTGATGTCATGGTAAAGTTCGTCATTGTGTGCGTTGGCAATAAGATGTATTGTATCTTTGTCTATTGATGTCATGGGATAGTTCCTCCTTGTGTTTTTACGGTAAGACATATTTTATCTCTGTCCGTTGATGTTATGGTGTCTATTTTCCTTGTATGTTGACGGTGAAGTTGATCGTACTTTTGTCTGTTGACAATATGGTGTGTTTTGTCCTTGTGTGTAGACGGTGAGGTACAGTTATGGGATCGCACAACGTTACACGATGTGCGGTGTGCGCACGATGTGTGCACGGTGTGTGAACGGTGTGTGCACGATGGGCGAACGATAAAAAGCTGGACGATCAGTACCTGCGCACATCTGTGTGCACGATGGACGGACGCTGTGCGATAACAATCGTGGTTGGTGTAAATTAAGGAATGCCTTAACAATTTATACGGTTTCGCGTTTAAACATATAACCTTGATATTTACGTATGTTTCTATATTCTAGCAACATCTATAATTTATTTTTCTGTCTATACATTCTTATATTTAGAAATTGTTTTTTCTGTGTTTTTAAACAAACTTAATCGACAAATGTAAAATTACAACACAATCCCGTTTACAGGTAAACATNCGGGGGGGTGAAAATCCAGGTGAAGGGGAGCTATAGGCAAACGAATGCAAATAAAAAATACTATTCATTACGGTCAAACGGTATCGCATATCAGCTCTGTGTGTCAGAACTAGTCAGGTAAACTCCGGACACTCATAAATTGTTATTTACCTGTTCTGTTACCTTGGAGCCAAACCCATTCTTGACAGCCTATATATAGCTAACGGTCGCTGTCAGTGTGTAACACGAGTTGTGAAATTGTTTAATCTTGATTATTGTGATGAGAAATTACAGATATATACACAGTGTACATTATCGCATACAAGCCTTCCGTATTTTTGTCATTCCGTAATTTTGATCTACAAATGATACTAAATCGCACAGTTGTGCGGAGAGAAGCGCACAAACGAGCAAACGATTGCTAAATCGCACAGTTGTGCTCACCATGGGTGGACGATGTGCGGACGGTGTGTGAACGATGTATGTACGGTGTGCGCACGCTATTTTTGGTGCGTTGTGCGGTCCCACAACTGTATATTAAAACCTTGTCCGTTGGCGCTTTGGTATATTTTGTTGCTGTGTGCTGACGATGAGGTATGTTATGTTTTCACTATAGTGTAAACTACTGTTCCGCTCAGGTCTGACATTTATACAGTATAGGCAGTATTCATTGTGTAGTGTTAGAGAACGAACATGTTGACCACATTTATCCCAATGTCTGCATAAAATATATCACCTTTGAGAATTTTTATTTTTTTTCTCTATGCAAAGTAACTTGTCTGATGATACACACCTATTGCGTTGCATGTTTTATATATTTACATATTTATTAGATACGTCACACTTCCTGGATTCATGATGTTATTGTGGGCCTTGTCTCAACGAAGAAATAATGAAACATGATCTTGTCTCATGGCTTGTAAATGGAAATTTGTATATATTTACCTGTGTCAACATCGGTAACGTAAAAATCCGAGATGAATAAAGTGATACCAGCGTACCCTGCAGCAAAAATGCATCTGACCGAACACTCAGCAGCCTATGTTTGCTATGATTAATGTACCCACACACATATGATTGTGCCTTTAGTATTTGGTCATATATACAATATGCCAAAAAAGTATGCTGCGCTGCGAAATACGACTTTTGAGTCTGTCTATGACTCATCGGTGATGCTGGGGTGTAAAAAGTGGACAATCCAAATTGTTTTAACTTCTGTTGAAACAAAGGTGCACGTGCCTAGAACCCCTTAATTAACTAACATAACACTTTAAATGTTAAATTTTCAAAATAAATAATATGTAAAGAGTGTATATTATGAACTGTTTCACTGTGCGAAAAGACAGATGTGGTTTTCAAGGTTACAGCCAACCTCGGCGACTAATACAATTCACCAGCAGAGTCCATCATGTTGTACCAAATCAATAAGGCTGAATCTGTGGATATAGCATAGAGAAATGTACCGTAACTCATATGTACCCTGTTACATGTATACATGCTAATGAAGTGTGGTTTGATTTGAAAATACAAAAATGTCATGAGATACGCTATCTCAAGTAAAACTTATATAGTTTATGTTAGCATTGTTTTTTACATGATACTTTATCTTGTTACAGTCGTGCAATGAATAGGCAAGACATATGATACTATCAAAATCAATGCTTATTCCAAGTTTTCTTTGTTTCGAAAATGTACAGTTTGAGGTGTATAGATTATATACTCGTAAAATCAAAGTATTTGTTGATCTTAAATTAAATGTATACAAACGCTGGCTTCGCAGTTTCAATTATGTTCACGTTTCTAATTAGATAAATTACAAACTGTAAAACAACGCAAAGGATATTTTGAATTAAACTTTGTTTGTTTGGCTTTTATCTCAGTTTTTCTTAACCGCATCATGTTGGACCCTTTCATCACAATGGCTTTTTTCTTATTTATAAAAACAGTCTTGTTCTGTGAAACTAATGTGATATGTTTATTTTTTTTAAAGCACCATTCTTAAACAAAAGACCATTACTGCCTTTTATGGGAACTTCCCATCGTTTGTATGTCAAAGGTCTAGGTGGTGTGCAGCAGCGTGCCCTGTCATTAGATTGTGACATATCGACATCGCATAGCCTGCGTTAAATTGCAAAGGGAGATAGGAGATGTACAGACTCACCTTCCCCTCCCACCCAAAACCCTTCAACCCACACATATATTACTAGACAATAGCATTGCTTAAAATATAAAAATGAAGACTTTATGAGACATGAGTTAACACACAAATGAAATGACTAGTAAATAAAGTTGTTTGAACTGCAAAAGTATTCATATGCAGTTTGATAATAAACAGTAATGATAAGTGCAAAATAACTATACATTTCTTTTCCGAAACGAGACATCTTTCTTATTCACGAAATAAATAGGCCATGGCTATCGCTATTTGAGAGAACTAATTCATATGCTCAAAAGGATACCTATTCACACTAAAAATAGAAACAACCAGGAAGCTATTTACTTTGTTCTTAAATACAAGACACATTCGTACTGGTTAGGGGACAGGACTGGATTTGACATCCTACGGGTTTTGTACTGGACCAAGCATAACATGGACAGAAGAAAACCGTACAAAGGTAAGCAAACTGTTTTGATATAGAGTTGTTACTGTGAATGAATGGTGAAAACACTTTTAGGGGGCGGGGGGGGGGGTTCCATATTCTTATGCGTATGTTGTAAACTAGTGATTTTGAATCAGTGGACAATTTGTCAAGATGCTGTTTGAGTTACAAGTCATTTATAGGTATCTTGATTTACTATATATTCATAATATTTACAATGTTACTCGAGCAATTTTTCCAAAATGCAGTATCTCTTGAAATAAAAACTTTCTTCGTACATGCCTTTCTTTCAAGTCTTCTATGTGCTAAACGACGATTCTCAGACAAAATAACACAAACCTATAACATTGGGGGCGGTTTGCCTTGACTTTTGCCTTTTGAAATCGACCAAAACGTGTTGATTTTTAAAATTACAATAATTACAATGCTGTTGTCACGTGACATTTTCCTGTCTGGAAATAGTTCTCACAGACCGGGTAAATTATTACAGAAAAATGACTATTAGAAAGTAAAAAAATATAAACAAAGCTGCATTAAGATCAATTCTACGTTAAGGAGCTTTTTGATGTGTTGTTTATCATCGGGTAATGATACATAATTTGTTACAATACATTAGTGGAAGTAAAAGAGTCAACATATATTTAAACAAGTGTTTTTTTGATGGACATGATTTGGAAGAAAATATCACAGAAAGGCAGCATTTGTTCTTAATGCGTGTTAAAGAATACAAAATATATGCTATCACGGTAACACATCTTAAAAGTGTAGTTACAACTGTCGAAACAAACTTAGCCGTTATCACATTTTGCACTCTCAAGATGTTTTCAATTCGTCGATCGTCAACGCAATTCAAATAAAAAGAATGGATTGGTTAGTGTTGTTTTCCTAACAAAATAAAAATAGTTTACTTTAAGAACGTAATAGCCAAGTAAAGCCACATTTCAGGAAGTAATCATAAATATATCGTGTACATCCAGGTACTGCCTCCTCGCACGAACACTTACAAAGTAGAAATGAATGAAACGCAAAATGAGCACACAGACTCTCAAACAGGTTATACAATATCGAATTCTAATACTGACTTAGTAACAGACTCATTATGTCAACTTGGTTTGCTTTTAAATTCTAGTTCAACGGCAAATGAAAGGTCAATAAGGTTGGCATCACTCTAACATATGTTGTTACAATAATATACAAAAATATCTCTACTTTCACATTTGTCATGACGATAATACAAACAGTATTTCTACTCTCATATATGGTGTTACAATATTATCAAGAGTAAATCGACTTTCTCGTATAAGTTGTAACAATAATTTAAAGAAATACCGAACTACACACAGAAGTATTTACATATAACAACTTACTCAGACAGTCTAGAACTAGTAGGTGTGTGACGGGTGACCAGTAATACAGACAAAACCAACACATTGTTAAGGCACTGGTAATACCAAAGAAACATGTTTTAATGATTGGGAAACCAAATATTTGTGCAGTATTGGGGTAGATTGTTTCTTTCTTGATGATGTTCAAGATGTGACAAAATGAATTGGTAATGCCACTTGATTGCGTGATGTTGTTAGGTAACCGTAAATCGTTCTGAAATTTAGCCAACATGCGCAATTGTTTTTAAAAGTATGTGGGTCGATTGTATTGTTAATAAATTGCCCATTATCAAATCTAAGCTTACGGTCATCATTCAATTTCAGTATTAAGTACCACCCATCAACGCGTTAAAGGTCCCATGGTTACTTTCAATAGGAGTCACTTATAATATGTTGATCAATATTAGACATGTGAGTTAAACTAGATAATTGTGACGATGAAGTTTGGTAAAGGTGAGACATCTTCCGCATTCCTCTGACTGCGACGTCAACTACACCAATGTTTACATAGACATTGTTGTTAGAACAACGAGGAGTGGTTTGCATAACGATGGGAACATGAACCATGACCATTTCAAAGTGTAACTGATACATAACGCACACGCATGCTAATAAACGTGTCAGAGGCCAATGTTACATCGGGGAGCCAATTTACCTGAAGCCGACCCGGAAGATCTTATATAGGATTTTATAAAAATAAAGATAAACTCGAACGTGTTAAAGTATTTGAATTAAAGTATGACTCGTTTTTGGTGCAACAACTTGACAAGACATATATTTAAACGTTAAGATTGCATGTCATTTATGTTGCTTAAAATATAAAGTTTATTACATAGGTCATTCAATGTTTGTAAATTAATTTATAATTCGTTCTGCGTTGGTATATGGTATGCTTTATGTATGCTGTTACTATCTTGTCATTAGAATGCAATGTCTAAAGCCTGATATACTTTTGATTTTAATTCACTACGTTCAACCGAACATAAAGCAATTATCATATAAAACTCAACACCTATGTATGGGAGTGGCCTTCGACCGTCAACCGTTTTTATTAAAGTAAGTGAAATACAAACACGTGCGGTTACACGTTACCCGTCTCGCCTCACGCGGCTACCTGTGTCACCTCTAATGCTTGTTAGTACGTTTGGTTGTCAAGGTGCATCGAGGCATTTAATTTCAGGTTATACCCATTTATGTATGAAAGATGGTGGTTCAGAGTAGCTTGTTGGAAATATACTAGTAACACTTAAACACATTTTTGTATAAACGGAGGGTGTGGCCTGTCTGGGTACACCGGGACGGGGCCCAATAGGGGAAATCGAGGTTTAAATCTTTAAAATTATTCTTCTGTACCATTGAAGGGATTAATCAAAATTCGGCCTTGGGTATCCTTGGGCAAAAGGGACTAAAGTTTGTAAAAACAGAGGGTATGGCCCTCTGGGTGAAAAGCGGCTGGGCCAAATAGGGGAATTTGAGGTCGATTTTTTTAAATCCTTCTTCTCCTGCACCACTGGAGGAATTTTAACTAAGTTGAGAGCATCCCTTGGGTAAAGAGGGCTGAATTATCTTTAATCGGAGGGTGTGGCCCCCTTTGGGGCAGAGGGGCGGGGCCCTAATAGGGAAAATCTAGTTAATTTTTTAAATTCCTTTTCATTCAGTTTGATAGGAGTGATTTTACTAGAATTTGGTCCAAAAATATATTTGGCAAGGGAGACTCAAATTGTTTTAACAAAGCGATATATACTTGTAACACTTTACCAACAGACAGAATGTGTTACAATTCAGGATCCCGGTACCACTGCTAGAAATTGTTACTAAGTGTTGAAACTGTTTTGCTCGCATGGCTATAACTTTGATAAATCTTACCTGATAAGACAATCATATCATGAGAAATAATAAAGATGAAAAAAATAAATATAATCAACAACACAGTTTTCGAGTAGAAAACATCAGCAAGGTTAGACCAGGATTCGAACACACTGGAGAAAATAAAGTAGGAAGTCTCCTTTTTTCTAAAGTTTATGAGCTTATAATGAATACATCGTGCGCAATCAGAGGCGTCTCTATGAAACTGTTAACAATGAAGAGTGCATTCAATACGATACCAGTTTTCTGTAATAGGGGATACAATCTCGCATTACAAAAATGTCTGTCGTAACGTAATAGACGCCTCATATGACGAGACTATTCACGTATACCTCCCATACAATGCGATACTACGTTCGTTTATTTATTTACATATGTACATGTATATAAATAGATGATATATAATACAGAGTTTTGACGTCATGTTCTGATTACATACATGTAAAAAAATTCAATGTGTCAAATATCGACTTTACGTAAGTTAAATAAACTTCAGGACATACTTTGGATATTTCATTTTAATTTACTTCTAAAACAAGCAAGTATCTTATGATTTACATTTCATTTGCTTTTACATTCATACAGTTTCAATGATATTAAAAACAAACTACTTGTAGAAATGTTCGTTTGTTTTCATTAAAAATGTATAAACTGAGGTAAAGGCTATCTGTTATCCTAAACATATTTCTCATTGAGTATTATCAGTGATACGCGAAATTTTAAACTTGTCTCGGTGAATCAAACACACTTTTCTTTCTAAAATTATTTTCTCTCTGCAACTCAGTTTTGCCCATTCATACCACGATTCTTTTAAATATCGCGTTAAACAACAAATACTGAATCTCCAGATTGTAGTGCCCAGCCGTTTCCTTATATTGTATTCACATTGAGCCAGTTTCAACACACATTAATGGCTAAAACTACCACTTACCTATGACTATGCTCAATATTTTAACAAAAAAAGTTGCTTTATATAAGCAACCCCCTTATGAGTGCACCATGTGTATGGTAAATTACATAGCCAGGGTTATAAACAAGAAACACCTTGTTTTACGCGGTGGACATAGTCATGATTAACAATTAAAGCTATTCATTTGTCAAAGTTTGTACAGATAGCAATCGTATTTTGTCTGAGGTGGTTCGTGGTCAATTGGACAGTTACATGTTGATATGAGTTTTGCACATTGATTAAGGATGACGCTATGTTAGTATTTATCTTGGTAGTAAACGTATCTGAGTTAAACACTCGGTTGATCGTTTAGTACCACTATAAAACAATACTAATGTCACCCTGTAGGTCGTGAAATGATGAAGGTCGTGTAATGAGAAAATGAGACACCTTCCGTTCTCACTGTTGTAAGAGGCAACTAATGTGGAAACCCACTGCAGAACCGGAATTTTGCATTGTGCCCTCTACCTGGTGACAAGTAAGCGGCCAATGTAAATCTGCTGTACCCTTTGCAACATTGGAGACTCCGTGTTTATATCTACCTCCTATATAACAAGGTTTTAGTTTCTTTTTGCAACACCGCAATTTTGATCGTTCTCTAAATGGGGCGGGACAAAGGTCCTGTCCACAGACTATGGTATACCAAAGTCAATAAAATGAGGAAAATCGCAACAAACTTGTTAACCAGTAAATTAAGACAGAAGGGAACAATGTGCAGGGTGCCTTTTGCATAATTTCATGGAGGTAACACTATTAAGTCGAAAACAGATCTGAAACATCTTAAAGAGGCAAACACACCTTCTTACCTCATTCTATACATATTACAAAATACACAAATACATCATATTCATTGATGCACGCCATATATGGTCTTACATGTATCTGTTATATACTATGATACTAAAACCTTGTCGGCTGTGCCCCACGTCATTGGGGTCAATACAAAAATCCATTGTATGCCATTGTGGATCACAGTCGCAAACCTTTTCATCTGAAATAGAGGTTTCACAACTTTTTAAAGAAAAAACGAGGACATTTTCGGGGTTCCTGAAAGACTTCCTCACTTGATTCCTTGTCCAGTTTCTCTGTCAGCCTGGATTGTCTGGATTTCGATGTCAAAATTAAGGTTATAGTAATTTTTTCTTACTGAAATAAAATTGAGATTCTGCAGTGTACAACCAATGTTCACGATGCAATATTTATCATACTTTTATTAAATCCCACTTTTTACGTTTGCCCTTCCTCTCACCCTGACGCCCCTGTGGTACCATAGATTGAATAAGAGTGGAACAACGACGATGCATTCCCTTAAAACATCAAGGTTATCAAAATAGGATACATTCTTCCGACTAAGACACATTGGGCTATTATAATGTTTGTTATTAACACTTACCTGTTTTCAAAATAATAAAAAATAATTAGTTTTCAATTTCAATGACAATATAAAAGATTGATATCTGCGTTTGTAGTTTCATTTTCATTCTGAGTCCATAATTAACTCTGTATGTATATGAAAGCAAGTAAAAAAAAAATTAAAAAAATTGTGTCAAAAATTGTAACACGAGGTCCGTAAATACTTGATCACTCAACATTTTCTTGATTAATTCTTTTACTGACCATTGCTAATAACTGTGAGAATGTATATTTGTAGAATAAACTCCACAGTTCAGTCACCTGTCTGCCGCGTTAATTTAATTTAACTCAATTGGTATCCTGTATATAATGTAAAAGTGCATATATGTTACGATGGAATACTTTGTGAAATAAATAAAATGAATCCAACTTTATGCACTTTTTCAGATCCCGATGTGGATTATATCGGACGAACTGATAGAAAGAACAGCAATGAATCATATGTACCCATACCGTACGTCCGTGACAATGGTGAGGACAGAAGTGTATCGAGTGGCATGGCGTTCGGAAATTATGCCATATCTGATGAATATGCTGTTGAGGATCCCCACTGGAACATGATGGCATACAACTCAAAACGTCACTGGGCCAAGGCCAATTGGTCGGAGGTGAGTACAGGATAGGTCACGTCATGGTTCATCGACAATATTACATGAACGTTTAAGGGTCCAGAATGAATCAATCGATACATGTATTCCTTCCCGGTACGTAGAGTTTCCTAGATGTGTGCAAAATGTCGCACGTTGTATATGTATTCTGCACCGTTGATATTGCATCAAGAATTCTAGCATCAACATTAAAATTTTGCTTTTGAAACCTCGCTGAAATCCAGTGTTTTAAATTGTAGTAATTTGAATGTAAAGAATGTTAGACCTCCAATGGATCAACTGCTTTTAAAATAGAATTTGAAAATAAGCTATATTTGTAGTATTTATAAGTATATTTGGGGTCTGTATAAATGTTCATATCTTCCGTACATTTCTCTGATATGTTTTTTTCTAAAAGACTATGTTTATTCATTATACTGTTCAACATATACTGGTATATACATTTATTAAATTATGGGCATGTGCGATCAATGTTTAGGTATTTGTACTTAAATACTTAAATATTTCGTATTTAGTAATACTTATACAGCCATGAACTATGATCAATGCATTGTTGTTTCTTTAAATGATTGATGTGTTAAAAATAGAACAGATCACATGGTAATGTGGTACCCACAGATAATAACGACGACTAAGTATGTGTTCCTAAACGTACTGGTAGTGTAGTAAGTTAATAATACAAACCAATGTCAATAAAGTCCTTATCATACATGTATCACGGCATCACCGGACTTGTTACACGGTGAAATACTACGGCATACACCCTATTCAACTGTTAAACTATAAGATGTTTGCATGTTCTTTTTGCTTGCAAGACTTATAAATAGACGTTCAGAATGCATCACATGATTTTCAACAAATTTCACAACTCGATTGTTTAGCATGACATTTTACCCTGCTACACAATAGCACACCTACTTACACCCCTACCCAACAAAACAACTACACACAACCGCACATTATGTTTTCTAAAAGTTAAATCCCTTTCTTTATCACGACTAACTCACTTTAGTTTCTGAAAGGTTGAAATACGACGCAAACCTGAAGTTGGGTTTGCGTGAATACTTAACAACAAAACCGTACTAATTGTTTAGGTTTCTGTGGGGTGTCCATAAGGTTTCGTATTAGCGCAATCTAGTTTTCAACCAATGACAAAAAGTTGGTATACGGAACGCATAAGATACAAATTATATAACGAAAGTATTTTTTAGCACACTAATGAATGTGTAATTGCATTGCTGGTAAACATCTGAAGGAAACAACATTAGCATTTATATCTTAGCAAATTAGCATGAGCTATGTTTTAATATAAAATCAAATCAAACCTATAAAATTACTAGTTGACTGCTGGTTGCTATTCTTCAGCAATATGTGGAGTCAAACAGCCGATCAGATGATGTGAACCGTGACGAACACAATTATAGATCCAAGCGCCGCCATGGCCGAGAAGATTTTGCCCGTCCTTCTCCACGAGACAAGAAAGGAGGAAACACAAACATCAAACACTCAGCTCTGGCAGTATTCATGGTAGCGGTGGTTGTAGCTATCCCACTGTTGATTATCTTCGTCTTCAGGAAAGGTATTTATCGTTGTCATCCGAATCAAATACATGATAATTTTTATTTTAATGTCTTCTATGCTGGGCATGGTACAATATACTGCAACAAATCGTTCAGAAAAAATAGACTTATCAACAGATCTCCATATCATTATAAGTGATAACATGTAAAATCTCATATTGTACCAGTGCTTATCAATATATTCCTCGTCAGACAGAAGTACTGATACATATCTACCACCCAATGAAAGAAAAAAGAGTTATATTTGGAGTCCCCTACCAGTGATTAGATATGATGACAAACTAATAGGTGTTGCATAACACACGAAACAACACATGTGGACTTATTATTTCATTACTTGACATTGTGGCTGCTCTCTTGCTACAGCCAGAGGCCATACTCCACAAGATCTTTCTGAAATTGAAACAATGTCCTGTTTACCATAGTATCTGGAACACGACAGGAAATATACATGTGCACAGATTATATAGAGTTACAACACCAAACACATATTGCTTGCTAAAGCATAACAAGTGCTCTACCCGGGCCATACCTGGCTCCTCCGGCCATGGCCTTCACTGGCCTCTCTCGCAAAGCGCTCACTTTTCCGAACCTAAAATACCGACTCTTAACACCTTGTAAAATGTACAATATTAACTATTCTTAAGGACGTACCACCCATTGTACATGTATATAAGTGATGAGGCACGCGCAGCATTTTAATCTAACTTCTAATTTAACATTTCCTTACCAAACCAACAATATTAGGTGTAGCATATGATGATGACAGTAACTCCTGTCTGTTTTGGAGATTTCCCACTCTTGCCCATATCTCTGTCATCCATGAACGACAGATGTGTAGCAGATAGATATACAGTTGTTAATGCATAAAGGGAGATAATCTATAGCACAATGAAAAAAGAAGTTACGAATACAAATGCTGAACATTGATAATATTATTATATTTAAGTGATGATAAACATTGCATTTACAACTTTGGTTTTATTTTGGTACTTTGGATCTGTTTGATCTTTGGTGCCGTGATTGTACGAATATTTCTTGGAAGAGATCTATGTATTACAATACTGCTAGCTCACCGATGGTTCTCTACTAATAAGCTTAATAAAGTATTTAAATGTTAAATTTAATTGTTTTTTAGGATCCCCGATCACCGAAGGTAAGTTTCTATACTTTGTCACCTACAGATAGGTACTAATAATCGAAGTTGAAATCATAAACAGACATTATTATTCTGTTATCATTTTTGTAAAAAAGAAATATTACAAAATTAAATTTTGGACCCGTAATTATATACATTATATATCGTCCATTTTGCTGATGTTCAAACTGCAAACTTTTTCTTAATTTAACAGCGTTTTATGTGTTTTATCGTTGTATTTGAAAACTAGGACAGAAACTGTGATTTTAACATGCAATAAGTTGCTTTGTACTTACTATAAAGTTCATGTTCATAATTTTGGTTGTTGAAAACAGGAACAATAGGCTTGGAATTAAAATTATCTGACCAGTTTCAAAAAGGCATGGAAGATCCCACTTCTACCGTGTTCAAGTCGACAGAGCAGGAACTTTGTACAGAGGTAATACCATTAGGGAAGCTAGATTACATGTTAATTGTTTAAAACAGAACCAGTTGGACCTTTGTACGGAGGTAATATCATTAGGGAAGCAAGATTACATGTTGATTGTTTAAAACAGAACCAGTTGGACCTTTGTACGGAGGTAATATCATTAGAGAAGCTAGATTACATGTTAATTATTTAAAACATAACCAGTTGGACCTTTGTACGAAGGTAATATCATTAGAGAAGCTAGATTACATGTTGATTGTTTAAAACAGAACCAGTTGGACCTTTGTACGGAGGTAATATCATTAGAGAAGCTAGATTACATGTTGATTGTTTAAAACAGAACCAGTTGGACCTTGAAGTCATTAATTTAACTATCGTTGAAATATTTGCATTGTCTCAGTTTTGTTTCTTTTGTTTAAATGTAACTCTTACATCTTGCGAATACATTATCATTACTATCTGTGATGCACGTTTATCTCCTAATAGGTAGAACAGGCATTTACTACAGACGACAACTTCCCAGGGGGCACGAACTATGTGTGTACGCTTAAATCACTAAGGTAATTATAATAAATATAATTAAAAAAAAATGATGAGCTTCTTCACTTTCAATAAAAACGCATACGGTTGTAAAACTTCGATTCAATATGAAAAAGGCAGGAACCGGGTATGTGGTCCCGGTTGCTCAAAGGTTGGTTAGCGTTAACTGGTGGTAAGGGAAATTATCAAGAGCATCTTATTTCATTTTATTACTATATTTTTACTGAAACATATTATAATAATAGATTTGAGGGTTTATTTTGCTTTGGAAAACTTTTTCTTCTTAATGACAACAATTTGAATTGTTCACTTACTGCTGGTTAAAAATTAACTAACCTTTGATCGACTGAGGCCTGATGTTAACGACTCGCGCTTGTTGTATTGTTCAATATTATATAAATACAAATGCATTAATAGAGTGTGACAGTGCCTATGGTCTCCTCGAGGGTATCACTGTCACCTGAGCCGAAGCCGAGGATGACAGTGGTAGCCGAGGCGTGACCCTAGACACTGTCAAACTCTGATGAGTGTGGTATTTATTTTATTATACCGTAAATCCTTTAATTAACAAAGTTTTTAAAGTTTCAAATACACGCAAATTGTATTTTCATCACCAAATTTAACAGTGAACTATTTTAGCTCTAGCAATAAAGTTATGTTTTTAACAATGCGAAATATCACGGCCGTTATAATAATTGAATTGTTGAAATTTACGACGGGGTAACCGAACAGTTTCTTCATATCATCATCAGTGATTGTGCCTTGTGTATCACTGCCCGGAAACCTCGTTTTTTTCCCATTTAAATCATAACTGCTTTGTAGATGTTTTTCGAGTCCTTATTAGTCAATAGTTTATCCAAATCACCAAACTTGACCTATGCAAATCGTGCATATTTCAGTTTACTTCACGTAGCAAACCGCCGAATGTTTGTCCTGACTACCACATTAATAAAGCGCTTGCGAATCTCACTCATCTCAGCGTTACATTGTAGTACTAATCACGGCGAGTAATACACGGTAGCAACATGAAGCGTCTGTGGACCTGCTTGTGCGATGCATTGCAATGCAACAAAACATGGCGCTGAAACGAACCGTACGCGCATCTTCTTTACGCGGTCACTATTTTGCATTGTCATTCACACTGTCGCCAGTTGGTAGGACGTTGGGAATCACCCTTCCATTGACTCAATGTTAACTCGATTGTGACAGTGTGAAATGAACAATATACCTCTACTAATCAGATAACAGCATTTTCACTACAGGTATACTAATATGCAATTTCAGGTACCACCTGAGGAATCGAATTCAATTTAATAAAAACTGCAACATTTTTTTCTCTCAATATTTCAATTGGTTGCAAGACTTTGTAGAATTTAGAAATGTCTTACTATTTATTAATTAACACCGATTAGATATAGTACTGACAAATATCACTATCCTAGCTACGCAATTACCCATTGGTTAAACAAATACGAAATAAAAAAGTAATAGAGTACACATGTATCATTTGCTTTATCGTTAGTTTATATCCCAAAAAGGGTCAGTTACATTAATTATACAGCAAAATTCGGACGATGCGTATGGTAATTGACATCATTTGTTATCTTTTTAGAAATGGCAGCATCATTGTCACTTTCGTGATAATCATTACTGGCAGTTACACTATACCTGGCAATGATCAATATGTCCAAACGGTTACAACATTCATAGGAGCAGGGGGGACACTGGGGTCATTTACAGTAATAAGTGGATCCGTAGTTGTCACATCAGCTTCCTATACGCAGCAAGGCGTCCACACGATCATTACAACAACCACATCTGCGCCAACGACAACAACATCCACTCCAGAGCCAACAACAACGACAACAACTCCGGAGCAAACAACAACGACAACCACTCCAGAGTCAACAACAACGACAACAATTCCGGAGCAAACAACAACAACAACCACTCCAGAGTCAACAACAACAACAACCACTCCAGAGTCAACAACAGCGACAACCACTCCAGAGTCAACAACAACGACAACCACTTCAGAGCAAACAACAACAACTCCCGAAGCTACAACTACTACCATTATTCAAACTGGTACATAGCTTACGATATTCCAGCTATAATGTTCATCTTGGTACTAGAACATGCCCAATTTCAATTAGTATCCTGCACGTTACTATAACTCGTACATGTGTTCATTCTTTTAAATGGGCAATCGTAAACCTTAGGATATTTCAAACAGACATATTATTACAATAAGATTTACCTAACAAACTTTAGAGTCCACTTTACATATACGAGAAAGAACACATGTTGCTTTAATATATTGTAGTGCTAAATACTGGAGTCAATAAATTTTGTCAAAGCTTTTAACAAATTTGGCGGACCATTATTTTCCGAGACAAAGATCTTTGTGGTTTAACTAAACAATATATAATAATTAAATTTTCATACAATTATCATAAACCAATGATTGGTTTGTAGATACTTTCAGATGTTTTGTTAAAGAATATGCATGTAAAAAGGTTCTTTATTGTTCATTGTTGTTAAATTAACTTTATTTCTCAGAAATTCAACTCGGTAGCTCGCTTACGTCTCCTCATGGTGATTTACTCATTGAGTGCAACGTCCAATACGCACCTAATACCTGGAATGAGATCAAGCTTATCTCCACTGGCGTCAGCTCTGGGATTGAAGCTGTTTGTTATGCTAATGGTACAACACAAAAGGACAACAACTCGTACCAACTGACCTTACATCCTACCGGAAATAACGTATCAATAAGTCTTCTATTTCCAAATACAACGAAACAATGTTTTGCCAGAAGCAACTACACGTGTCTGCTCTATGGAAATAACGACGTAATGGTTGAAACAACGAAATATGTCTCCATTCCAGGTATGTTATATCATAATTTAATATTTAACAGTTATACATTCATTCCCTGTTCATTTTCGTAACACTTCTGATACCTGTTGGCTACAATAGACATCTATCTGATATACTAGTAAAACATGTATCTGATATACTAGTAAAACATGTATCTGATATACTAGTAAAACATTTATCTGATATACTAGTAAAACAATATACTAGTAAAACATGTATCTGATATACTAGTAAAACATGTATCTGGTATACTAGTAAAACATTTATCTGATATACTAGTAAATCATTTATCTGATATACTAGTAAAACATTTATCTGATATACTAGTAAAACAAGTATCTGATATACTAGTAAAACAATATACTAGTAAAACATGTAGCTGATATACTAGTAAAACATGTATCTGATATAGTAGTAAAACATGTATCTGATATACTGTAAAACATTTATCTGATATACTAGTAAAACAAGTACCTGATATACTAGTAAAACTTTTATCTGATATACTACTAAAACAAGTATCTGATATACTAGTAAAAATTTTATCTGATATACTACTAAAACAAGTATCTGATATACTAGTAAAATATGTATCTGATATACTAGTAAAATATGTATCTGATATACTAGTAAAACAATATACTAGTAAAACATGTGTCTGATATACTAGTAAAACATCTATCTGATATACTAGTAAAACAATATACTAGTAAAACATGTAGCTGATATACTAGTAAAACATGTATCTTGTATACTAGTAAAACATTTATCTCATATACTAGTAAAACATGTATCTGGTATACTAGTAAATCATTTATCTGACATACTAGTAAAACATTTATCTCATATACTAGTAAAACATGTATCTGATATACTGTAAAACATTTATCTGATATACTAGTAAACCATGTATCTGATATACTAGTAAAGCAATATACTAGTAAAACATGTAGCTGATATACTAGTAAAACATGAATCTGGTATACTAGTAAAACAGTTATCTGATATACTAGTAAATCATTTATCTGACATACTAGTAAAACATTTATCTCATATACTAGTAAAACATGTATCTTGTATACTAGTAAAACATTTATCTGATATACTAGTAAAACAAATATCTGATATACTAGTAAAACAATATACTAGTAAAACATGTATCTGATATAGTAGTAAAACATGTATCTGATATACTGTAAAACATTTATCTGATATAATAGTAAATCATTTATCTGATATACTAGTAAAACAAATATCTGATATACTAGTAAAACAAGTATCTGATATACTAGTAAAATATGTATCTGATATACTAGTAAAGCAATATACTAGTAAAACATGTATCTGATATAGTAGTAAAACATGTATCTGATATCCTAGTAAAACATTTATCTGATATACTAGTAAAACAAATATCTGATATACTAGTAAAACATCTATCTGATATACTAGTAAAACAAATATCTGATATACTAGTAAAACAAATATCTGATATACTAGTAAAACATTTATCTGATATACTAGTAAAACAAGTATCTGATATACTAGTAAAACTTTTATCTGATATACTACTAAAACAAGTATCTGATATACTAGTCTTCGCCCCCTTACTCTTTCGGTTCGACGATGTCCCCCAATACACACGTCTATTATATGACCTTAGCTATTTGAAGCACGATAGATCCCAAACAAACTCATATAAAAAGTGACATTAAATATAACGACACGAACCACTAACCGTCCTCAACCAAAAGAAAACAATATTGTAGTTTACTATACAGTAGGTTATACCTTTAAACAGAGCAATAGACATGAAATCTTATTTTGTTTTCTTTGTGTAAAACAGACACTGTGATGATTTCAGAGAAATAAATAAGAGCAAGACCTAATAGTATATTACAAGTGTCAATAAGCTATTATAAAATATATTCTAATATAATGAAAACAACACTGTGTGCAATCAGTTACAGATGCAGCAGAAAATCTTGAAATTGTTGGAATTCCAACGATTAACGAAGGTGACAGATATGTAGTGAACTGTACCGGGGATCTGGCTCCGCCATCAAGTACACTCGACCTGTATACTAGAACCGCCAACGCTACGTCATTTACGAAATCTTCAGTAAATCCCCTATTAACGAGCGGTGTTGTAACTCAGTCATGCTACCTCCAAACAACAAAGAGCTACACTCTGATAGCCAACATGAATGATAATGGCACAGAGATGAGATGTGAGGCACTTAACTCTTCGCCAGGATCACGGACGACATCTGGTTCACGAACGGTTTCTGTAACAGTTTCTGGTAAATGTCAATATTTTTTATCATTCTAACCGAAATACTCATTAATCATGCGATGAAATTGTAATCAATTGTATTTAATATCTTAAGAAATTGTCAAAGTATTTAGATGATACTATATTCTTAAACCAAATCATTGTGACACAACAATAAGCTTGTTATATTGAGTTTTTATATTGTCATCTTTCTTTCACAGAAATACAACTCGGTAGCTCGCTCACATCTCCTTATGGTGATTTACTCATTGAGTGCAACGTTCAATATGCACCCAATACCTGGAATAAGATCAAGCTTATCTCCTCTGACGTCAGTTCTGGGATTGTAGCTGTTGGTTATGCTAATGGTACAACAAAAGAGGACAACAACTCTTACCAACTATCCTTTCTACCTGTCGACAGTAACATATCAATAAGTCTTCTTTTTCCAAACAAAACGAAACATTGTGTCGCAAGAAGGAACTACACATGTTTACTCTATGTGAATGACGACACCTTTGCGGAAACAACACAATATATCTCTGTTCCAGGTAACATTTTTGCCGAATTCGTAATTATTCCTCAGGGCTCGTTATATTAATTGTCCTTTTGACTTTTAAGTCTAATCGTTGTGATGAGTCTTTTAACATTGCTATTTTCAATTCCAAATAAAATTTCTGATGCCGTTTAATGAGTCAAAATGAATTGCCCCTGAATTGGGAAATGAAAACACATCTTATGGTATACATATCACCTGATGAATTGAACATCTTTAATTTAGAATATTATTTTCGATGAACATCTCACATTAGATAAAGGATACATTTTCTCTAAAGAGAAAAATAAATGAAAGTACGTCTTAGACAAATATGTTATACACTGTACCTTGGTATAATGCGATATCGATCAAAACCGTTTGCAGGCTGTGAATTTAAACTTCCATTTTGTAGATGCAGTTGAAAATCTTGAAATTGTTGGCAACACCATGTTAAATGAAGGTGACAGATATGTGGTGAACTGTACCGGAGATCTGGCTCCGTCATCAAGTACACTCGACCTGTATACTAGAACCGCCAACGCTACGTCATTTACGAAATCTTCAGTAAATCCCCTATTAACGAACGGTGTTGTAACTCAGTCCTGCTACCTCCAAACAACAAAGAGCTACACTCTGATAGCCAACATGAATGATAATGGCACAGAGATGAGATGTGAGGCACTTAACTCTTCGCCAGGATCACGGACGACATCTGGTTCACGAACGGTTTCTGTAACAGTTTCTGGTAAATGTCAATATTTTTTATCATTCTTATCTAATTCAAACTTCGGCGTGTAACCGAAATACTCATTAATCATGCGATGAAATTGGAATCAATTGTATTTAATATCTTAAGAAATTGTCAAAGTACTTAGATGATACTATATTCTTAAACCAATTTATTGTGACACAACAATATGCTTGTTATATTGAGTTTTTATATTATCATCTTTCTGTCACAGAAATACAACTCGGTAGCTCGCTCACGTCTCCTCATGGTGATTTACTCATTGAGTGCAACGTTCAATATGCACCCAATACCTGGAATAAGATCAAGCTTATCTCCTCTGACGTCAGTTCTGGGATTGTAGCTGTTGGTTATGCTAATGGTACAACAAAAGAGGACAACAACTCTTACCAACTATCCTTTCTACCTGTCGACAGTAACATATCAATAAGTCTTCTTTTTCCAAACAAAACGAAACATTGTGTCGCAAGAAGGAACTACACATGTTTACTCTATGTGAATGACGACACCTTTGCGGAAACAACACAATATATCTCTGTTCCAGGTAACATTTTTGCCGAATTCGTAATTATTCCTCAGGGCTCGTTATATTAATTGTCCTTTTGACTTTTAAGTCTAATCGTTGTGATGAGTCTTTTAACATTGCTATTTTCAATTCCAAATAAAATGTCTGATGCCGTTTAATGAGTCAAAATGAATTGCCCCTGAATGGGGAAATGAAAACACATCTTATGATATACATATCATCTGATGAATTGAACATCTTTAATTAAGAATATTATTTTCGATGAACATCTCACATTAGATAAAGGACACATTTTCTCTAAAGAGGAAAATAAATGAAAGTACGTCTTAGACAGTACCTTGGTAAAATCCCATATCGATCAAAACTGTTTGCAAGCTGTGAATTTAAACTTCCATTTTGTAGATGCAGTTGAAAATCTTGAAATTGTTGGCAACACCATGTTGAACGAAGGTGACAGATATGTGGTAAACTGTACTGGGGATCTGGCTCCGCCATCAAGTACACTCGACCTGTTTACTAGAACCGCAACTGCCACGTCATTTACGAAATCTTCGGCAAATCCCCTATTAACGAGCGGTGTTGTAACTCAGTCCTGCTACCTCCAAACAACAAAGAGTTACACTCTGATAGCCAACATGACTGATAATGGCACAGAGATGAGATGTGAGGCACTTAACTCTTCGCCAGGATCACGGACGACATCTGGTTCACGAACGGTTTCTGTAACAGTTTCTGGTAAATGTCAATATTCTTTATCATTTTAATCTAATTCAAACTTCGGCGTGTTACCGAAATACTCATTAATCATGCGATGAAATTGTAATCAATTGTATTTGATATCTTAAGAAATTGTCAAAGTACTTAGATGATACTATATTCTTAAACCAATTTATTGTGACACAACAATAAGCTTGTTATATAGAGTTTTTATATTATCATCTTTCTTTCACAGAAATACAACTCGGTAGCTCGCTCACATCTCCTTATGGTGATTTACTTATTGAGTGCAACGTTCAATATGCACCCAATACCTGGAATAAGATCAAGCTTATCTCCTCTGACGTCAGTTCTGGGATTGTAGCTGTTGCTTATGCTAATGGTACAACAAAAGAGGATAACAACTCTTACCAACTATCCTTTCTACCTGTCGACAGTAACATATCAATAAGTCTTCTTTTGCCAAACAAAACGAAACATTGTGTCGCAAGAAGGAACTACACATGTTTACTCTATGTGAATGACGACACCTTTGCGGAAACAACACAATATATCTCTGTTCCAGGTAACATTTTTGCCGAATTCGTAATTATTCCTCAGGGCTCGTTATATTAATTGTCCTTTTGACTTTTAAGTCTAATCGTTGTGATGAGTCTTTTAACATTGCTATTTTCAATTCCAAATAAAATGTCTGATGCCGTTTAATGAGTCAAAATGAATTGCCCCTGAATGGGGAAATGAAAACACATCTTATGATATACATATCATCTGATGAATTGAACATCTTTAATTAAGAATATTATTTTCGATGAACATCTCACATTAGATAAAGGACACATTTTCTCTAAAGAGGAAAATAAATGAAAGTACGTCTTAGACAAATATGTTATACACTGTACCTTGGTAAAATCCCATATCGATCAAAACTGTTTGCAAACTGTGAATTTAAACTTCCATTTTGTAGATGCAGCAGAAAATCTTGAAATTGTTGGCAACACCATGTTGAACGAAGGTGACAGATATGTTGTGAACTGTACCGGGGATCTGGCTCCGCCATCAAGTACACTCGACCTGTATGCTAGAACCGCCAACGCTACGTCATTTACGAAATCTTCGGCAAATCCCCTAGTAACGAGTGGTGTTGTAACTCAGTCCTGCTACCTCCAAACAACAAAGAGTTACACTCTGATAGCCAACATGACTGATAATGGCACAGAGATGAGATGTGAGGCACTTAACTCTTCGCCAGGATCACGGACGACATCTGGTTCACGAACGGTTTCTGTAACAGTTTCTGGTAAATGTCAATATTTTTTATCATTCTTATCTAATTCAAACTTCGGCGTGTAACCGAAATACTCGTTAATCATGCTATGAAATTGGAATCAATTGTATTTAATATCTTAAGAAATTGTCAAAGTACTTAGATGATACTATATTCTTAAACCAATTCATTGTGACACAACAATATGCTTGTTATATTGAGTTTTTATATTGTCATCTTTCTTTCACAGAAATACAACTCGGTAGCTCGCTCACGTCGCCTCATGGTGATTTACTCATTGAGTGCAACGTTCAATACGCACCTAATACCTGGAACGAGATTAAACTAATATCGTCTGACGTCAGTGCTCGTATTGTCGCTGTTGGTTATGTCAACGGAACAACACAAAAGGACAACAACTCGTACCAACTGACCTTCCAACATAGCGATAGAAACATGTCAATAAGTTTATTATTTCCCAACACAACAAAACATTGTTTTGGAAGGAGCAACTACCGGTGTTTGCTCAATAGCGATAGTGACGACATCATTGTGGAGACGACAGAAAACGTTTCCATTCCAGGTACATTGTATAACAGTTTGGAAAAATGCAAACTATTAGCTTTGCTAAATATTGCAAAGATGTTTTCATTATAATACATTTTTATTACATGTAGCTCTCTGGTAAAGAGTTTGTTATATAATCAACAGAGTTTTTAAGTGAATTTTGAGGAAAGAAGCATGAATGCGACGAAAATATAAATGATAATGATATTGTAGTGAACTGTGGTGGTGGCTTATGCTATTTAAACAATTATGTGTTAAAATGAACTTCTTTATTTTTATTTTTATGAGTTTTTTAGCAACAAATGTAACTAAATTTAGACTTGTTTCTGGTTTGACGCCACTAGAAAGGGATTTCCCACTTAATGTTAATAGAGGTTTGAGGAACCTGTAATGTTTAAAGCATACAATAATTTCATATATCAAACTTACTGTTACATGTATAATTTATTGATATTCCAAAGTCGAAGTAATTACTCATTATGGTTGATTTATACTGGGACTAAAAGTCTCCCCGAATTTGGTATATAAACGATAAATAATTTTCCATATCACTATATGTGTTTGAGAGGAAATATATTCCGTACGCCGATCACATTAGAGCTGATAAAGGGTAGAAGTTCCGAATGAAAAAGAGGCCCCTATAGGGAAAAGTTACTACTCACCGGTATTTAATTACAAATGCCTTTACCTGTATAGTATTAAGATGATAAGAAACGTGGTCAGTTGACATTTCAGTAAAACGACATACCAGTAGTTGACGAGACGCTGTTGGATGCAAATCCATTAAGCTTTTGTCAGTTCGATTGGAGTATTAGAAATAGTAGACACAACATCAGTATTAGGTTAATACATGTAACATTAATAAAGTATGCCTTTACTAGAGTATACATGGATATATCAGAGATAGCCGTTTCATTATTCGACACAATGTACATTTTTTCCCATTAAACAGTTTTGACAATTAGTCAATCAGGTCGATGATAATATTTGATTTTACTTGTGACCTTGTGTGACCTGTTGATATACGTAGTATACGAACTGTTGAGAAAGTTAAATTTGTTTATCAAATGCCTCAAATCTCAAAAGGTATACTCGGCAATGTCCGACGATATGATATTGTTTTGATCTACACGAAATAAAATAGACAAACAATTATTTTATGTTGATGTGTAAACATTCTAATGATATCTAGTTGTAGATACTGCGGAGCATGTTGTAATTGTTGGAAACACCACTTGGAATGAAGGTGACAGATATGTAGTGAACTGTACCGGGGATCTGGCACCGCCGTCAAGTACACTAGACCTGTACACTAGGACCACAAACGCCACGTCATTTACAAAGTCATCTGTAAATCCTCTAGTTACGATTGATGGTGTTACCGAGTCTTGCTACCTCCAAACAACAAAGAGTTACACGTTCATTGCCGACAGAACTGATAACGGCACGGAGTTGAGGTGTGAGGCTTTGAATACTTCGAGTGGAACATCGATGTCTACAAGGCAGTCAATTGTTGTACGAGTTGCTGGTAAATGTATTTTACATATTCTGTTTATATAGTTCGTTTGTTTGAGTATGCTAGTAAGTTGACGTCATGCCAGCTATATCTCATCATATTACTTGAACTCATTTCACATTTTATAAATATATCAATCCAACAGTTATAGTAGTATATCATATGGTGGCGGTGAAATGTTGACTAGTAACCGGATCTTGCGGGCTAACGACATTAGAATAGTCATTGGGTGATCCCTGTTAGTTTTGGACCATCCTCTGGAAAACCTTGTTTTATTCCGTGTTTTTAAAGGTTTACTATGTAAACATGTCTATTACTCTTATTTTGCCTAATTATATTGATTAAGGTTATAATTACCGTTTAGTTACACTTCGGTAGTGTGCTGAAATTACTGGAAAATCCAAATGTAAATGTTCAAATATAGGCAGACATAGATGTTTTTAACTAATACCTCATTCTTGAATAGAAATGTAAGTCTTTACCTGTATTCGTTGAAGAGAGTGTTGTGAGCAAGTTAGTTACGTATCAGTGAAACAGTGATGCTACACGTCAGAATAACAATTTTAATTTAAAGGAAGTATGTCAAGAAATGATAGCTCAAAACTATTTTTGGGAAACTTGTGTTACTTTTCCCTTTCTTTGTATTGTTATTAAGATTTGCCAAATTAAGTAATTTCTACAACTTATCATTTTTTCATAAATGATTATATATATATTTTTTCATTTAAGAAATGGAAATGAATGATTCTATCACAACACCTGAGGAAGAGATCACTATTAGCTGTAACGTACGGTACGCTCCGTCCGGATGGGATAACTTCAGTATAGTATCAGTGAACAATGATGAAATTCACGTGACAGCCTTCTCAGACGGAACTATTCAACAGGGCAACAGTTCCTATACAACTAGACTTCAACAAAGTAGTCCAGATATGATACTTAGCGTGCTGTTTCTTAATACCACGACACACTGTTACGCTAGGGGGAGTTACGTGTGTACATTAACAGACAACGGAATCATCGTCATCAATAATACAGCAACAGTTATAATTACAGGTAAGATCACAAAGATTGATGTATACTTGCAAAACGTTACCGCATGTAGTATATGTTATGCATCAAGTATATGTTAACATTAACCTGAAATGTGTACATGATTTGCGTTATATATTAGTCCGAAAACAATATTTACTTTGTTCATATTTTGTTTGGGAAGCTTGTCGAGAGCAGTGTTACCCTACAATAGGTTAATTTAGCTAAACTTTGAAAACAGTCACTTGTGTTTGATATAACATCATAGACATACGATTGCTATCATATAATTCCCTCAATAATTCCGCGAAAAATGTGGGAACTTCCTGCAAATTTTTAGTTTTAGTTTTGGCCTCTACTTTTGGGACACGAAAGCTACCAAAGTGAATCTGCTGCATCCATCGCAATATATGGGATGTTCATATTTCTCTCTTCTAACCGATTTTTTTTAAATTTTTTAGAGCATTGCTTAGCAATACCTTATATTTTGCTGAAATAGTGAAAGTTCGCCTAGGTGAGGTAGGCAGTGATAGCTGTACCCATACCTTACAATTGCAGTTTGTGTCCTGCTTAACGTTAGCATTTAGGACAGCATTTAGGGGAATGACAACAACTGGCCCATCTGTCGTCAGTATAATGTAACCGGGCGGATTGCTGCGATGGATGTCATTGACATGATATTTTAGTGAGATGGCACTATACAGTCGGAATAAGATCTGCGCTATCACAAAGAGGCAATTACACCAACATACTCTGTCTCCGGCACACTTGCACACATACAAAACGAACATTCAGACACGTCCTTAAATGACCTAAGCAGTTGATTTGATGTTAAACCCGGATAATTAACCAACTAATCACTCTGCATTGTAAATAGATTATGTCCGATAACTATATGAAAAGTTAAAGCAAATATGTTTAACATCCATTTACGATGTATCAAAAACTATCAATGTATTTTTCGTATACATTATTTTTATGTATAGATATCGCCAGCAACGTAACACTTGAAGGTAACGGCACAGTTGATGAGGGTGACAGGTACGAGATGAGATGTTCCGGTAGAGTAGCTACAGAAGGCGGGGATCTCCACCTCCATGTACGATCTGGTAATACTTCGGACTTTATCAGGACCACAGAAGTCCCCATAGTAACTGTTGGTGATGTCAATGACATGTGTTACCAATCCATAACCAAAAGTTACGGTTTCATCGCTGAAAGGGTCCAGAATGGAACAGAATTCGCCTGCGTCGCCACTAATGTCAAACTATCATCCTACCAAAGCACCACTTCCATCGATATGGTAGTGGACTTTGCAGGTAATATACATTTGCAAATGCAACTTCTTTATTTTTGTTAGTCTTAAAAGTAATAATGAGTAATCATGTGTTTCGAAACAAACGCCATTATGTTTTTTACATTCTTCTATTAAATACTTAAACACTATTCAAATTATTTCGTTAATTGATGTACGATTTTCTACTTTCAACATGAAGTTTAATGCTGAAAGAGTCACTAGCCTAGTAAATACACATCGATACCTAAATGATATCAATCACACGATAATTAAATTAAAAACTGATATATCAATAGTAATACTCTAAAGCAAACTTATATGCTGCGTATTCATTATCAAACAAACTAATGACATTTTCTTTTAGCTTTCAACACTCAATTTCATTTGCAAAATACTACATGGATCCCTGCCTACGGTGACAAAAACAGTCCTGAATTCAAGAGCTTTGCAGAGAAAATAGAAAATGACGTAAGTGTATACTGTAACACTAATTTATTGCGTAACTGATTTGTGTTAACTCATCAGACTCAAATTGAATTCAAGGGGAGATCAAAAGTGGTACATACCACAAGTGGCTAACCAAACCGTCTCTTTTGGAGCATTTTGATTTGCTTCATTTGGTTAATGATATTTTAGTTTTTAAATTGTTTTTTATATGGTTCTTGTTGATGTGGTTTCTGTCCTGCGTGTCAGGTGTGATAGTAGAAAGGCATTTATGCTGTTAAATTTATGTATCTTTGCAGACTGACTATGTATACGAGAGAAGCAATATCAAGGATAACTACAAGAGAAGCAAAGTCATTGGACTCGAGTAAGTTTTGTCATGTGCATCTGCAGGCGCTATGAATACACATGTATATACACGTTGAATAAACTTGAAAAGCCCTGTGAAGGGTGAAAGCAGCTAGTTTTTTAGTCGGTCGTTAATCTTATTTTTTCTATATTTACTTCCTTCACATGGACATTTAATCCCTTTTTATCATGTATATATATATAGGTTCGGTTACTGTTCTCGGGGTCAGTCATTCTATCATAATCAAAATCGTTTTCTTTTTTTCCGTTTGATAATATGTTAGTAATAAATGGCACCGTCAAAGTAACGGAAAGAATTATTATCATTTTCAATATAAAGTTGAATAAAACAGTCATATCTTGTGTTTATGGTTGGAAAAAGACATCAATACACTATTGTTTATTGTTTATATCTATGTTTATTTTCAGGCAGGGGAGTGTCAATGTCATTTTTGTGATGCATATAGTTGTCCAAGTGGTTCTCACCGATAGCTCCGGCAATGTCATCACAACAAAACTGACACCGACCGACATCGTTTCTGCATTTGTCGACACGCTCCCTACGGTTGCCAATGATCTTACCAGCAGTGACCTGATTGACTTAGACACCAACAACATTGTCACAGATGTTATTATTGGTATGTTACATATAGACATCATTCGACAAAACAAACAACCACTGCCGTATCATAAACAAATACTGGGTTAGTTGTGCGTACCAATTACAGGGTTTTGATTTATAAGTATCGGTGCCAATACTTTCCAGTATATTTTTATTTATTGAAGGTCTCTGTTCTGTTAACATGATTAAAGAGCAAGGCTGACATTTGTAAAGTTCAAAATGCCTTTTTATTTACACTGGTTGAAATGAATAAAAATAGTGATTCATTTAGTGCTTCGAAATTAGTAAAAATGGCCAATTCCACTGCATTGTAGTAAACAATAATACAAACATTGGTGACATTTCTGATAATTTTGTATATTTAAACTTGTTTAATCCATTAATGAGAGAGAAGCTAATGGACGCCTTGGCTATCTTATGGTGACATCTAGATGCAAGGTTGTAACAATATTCAAAATTAGATTCATCGGTTTGACATGAATAATAAATGTCAAGTTTGTTTTGAACACAAACATAATTGAAAACTTTTTTAGCGCGCTTTTGAAAACGTCTGTTTCCTTTGGTCAGAAAAGAGTGCAAATGACAGGTCTCTCGAGCTGAAAACAACTCACTAAGCCACAGTGTGCCGAATCAGTAAAGTCAGCTGTCAAAAGTCCTAAAGACATTTCGCCCAAATGTCTGTAGTACACTGTAGTAACACATTTACCCCTTCCACCCTAGAGTTGATGTTAAAATGGAGTCATACACATGTTTCAGCTGGTGCCTCGCCCCCTCGTCTCTGTCCAACGATTCTTCTTCCCTTCTTAACCGGATAGAATCTTTGATTTTCCTCCCTTTCAAGTTATCATCCTTTCAAGTGTCTTATAGTGTGTTTCAGTCCGTGAAGTAGTTTTGTATGTGTACTTGGTATATATTGGCTGATTTATTGTTTTGTCTCTCCAATGTCCTTGTATTTCTAGTGTAGACTTGTTGTTTCATGGATTCAACGTCTTTCTGGTGTTCTCTTAAGAAAGTTCCAGGCAGTTACCCTGATGCATTTAAGGTTGCAGCTATTACACGAATTCTGTGTTCAAAACAAGCTTAGCAATTACTGTTGGAAACAAACAAGCACGGTTATCTCGGTGCTATGTGTTGCCCTTTGAAATCGAAGGGTCCGAGGAACTTGAAATAGTACTGATGTGGAAAATGCAGGAAATGTTTCAGCACTAATATCATTTTTACGCCGTGTGCCGATTTTTGACTAGTCATACACAGAAAATGTTCATGTAAGTTAACATTATAAGTCATACATCAGCTACTGTCATAAAATGGCGCATGACTTAAATTAAGATAATCCTAAAACCTCGATATAACCTCATTCATTTCATTTGCCATATCAGTGAAAGTGTTTTATAGTTTCCTTTTTTGTAATATTTAAATTAACTTTTTGATATATCTCATGGATATCCCTTCATGAATTAACCCCTTTTCATGAAAGAATATTTCAAATGAATTTTGGCTATAAAGTGTATATTCTCATAGTCTATATTATCTTTTTTTGTCTTCAGATCCTGGAAATGAGTATGGTAAGTAATATTATCTACATCAGAAAACAATAGAAAAAAAAACATGAATAAGTAAATTGGTTAAAAGTATTCTTTTTGTATTGCGTTTGTGGTAAAAACGTCTTAAATTATGTGTTTTCTTGATTAAATTTAAACATTATGTTTATTATCTATTGTATTAGGTTCTGCTTTGCCATAAGTTTGTATTAACATTCAATATTTGCTTTTCGTATTAAACAAAAGCAAGACATGTCATATTCACGCTTATTTTTTTAATATCGCTCAACAACATATATTTGTATCTGGTTGACTATAAAATAAGGGCTAAGGGTAATACATTTATATCATTAAAGATTTTGAATAAATGTTTGATTATAATATAATACTTTTGTACGAGGATTTTTTTTTTTTCAAATGGTATTTTTTTTGTTAAAAGTTAAAAGATGAAATTCTATGAACTTTTCTTGAACTTATGCTTTCATTTAGCTTAGTAACCATTTCTCCACAGAAAGTCCTACTTAATCAGCTTGATATGTTTAAAAGAGTCTAGAAGGACAACAAGCAGCTTCCAACATTACTTATTTTTATTTTAATGTACCAGTATGTGTTTTACATTAAAATATAAGTGTAAAATGAGCCGCCGGTTGGGATTAGGGTCTTTAAGTCGTAAACAATTTATTTTGTGACTTTATGTTTTCAAAATCTAGAGACATTCCTTGTCAAAATGATATAAATATTATGTTAGTCGGTCATTTTTTGACGATTTGACGCCACTTGAAAGAAACGTCATACATAGTATGCTATATGACTTCTGACGTCGCACACAACGTCATTATTTCCGACGCTAATGTTAAGTTGATACAAACGTAACCGGCGGGTAATATATGTATAGTAATTTTAACTGCTTATTTCTGGCTTCACTCCGGAGGTTTATGCATGCTTTTAAAAGGTAATAATTAAGTATGTCATTAAGTCATACACAAATACTGAAATGTAAAACAAATAGGGTTCTATATGACCATGGGACAAATTTTTATAGACTAACATTTGTAAAGTTTTCTTCCGGTTATAGCTGTGAAAAAATATGTTTACAACAAAAACTTGAATCAGTATTCACTAATCTATACCACTTTGAAATGACCATCGCGTACATGAAATTAATTGGTGCGAATTCTAGAATGGCCGTATATGAAATTAAGTTTTGCGAGTTTTGACGTTGCAAGCGGGGTTACTGTCTTTTACGTCGCTACTTTGAATGTCAGCCAAGCCCAGTTCATATAGTTTTTAATGAATTGAAGAGATCATTTCCTAGGATGCAAAATAGAAAATAAATCTAGAAAATAAAATAAATTGTAAAACATCATTTTCAGAAAATAAAACAGGCATTTTAGGTAAGGTACATAATATGTTATTCCTGTTTTCATTACTGTTTTGTTTTTGTAGATAATAAATAACAGTTCTGTTTTGTTCATTTTCCCATCATTGTATTAGCCAAGGAAAATGTAAAACTTGCACAGCTACAGAAAAACAGTCCTGAGGCCAGTACAAATGGGCTGAAAAGTCATTGACATGCGCTATTAGCCAGAAAAGTAAATTTCAAGCAGTTTGTCATCATTCATTTGTTTGGATAGATCACCAGTATAAGCTAAATTATATCTAGAAGTAGGCAGGGAAGGTACTTAGAAGTATTTTGGTAGAGGTAGCAGGCATATGTTGACAACATGGTGACGATCCGTTAGTCTCTAACGCCACTGGAAGACCTTCAGGAATGACTTTCCCTCTCATTACTAGTATCATATCGGTCTCTTCCCCGTCAAGTGCAGGATTCACCTTTAGGACCCAAAAATGAACATTTAATTCCATGTAGTATATATATCAACAGAAAATTTATGCATTATATAGCGGAGGCACGGTAGTCTAGTGGTAGGACTCCGGGCTTATGACCGGTGGCGGGTTCGACTCGCGGCACGGCACTGTGTTGTATATTTGAGCAAGATACTTTACTCCGCTTGTTCCAGTCTGTAAATGTGCTCCCAAGGCAGTTGAGAAAGATATTGGCTGGTTGCAAAGGCCCAATAACCACGGATATTAATTTGAGAACCGCTTTGAGACGACCTACAAGCTAGATTGGGATAAAGCGTATATAAGAACGCGAATTATTATTATTAATTATTATCTACCTGATACATACAAGGTGATTGTGTATGCAATACAATATATAAAATATACAGCTTCAATGTAAAGAAAAAGAGTTATATAAAAAATGCATTCTTTACTCATTCCATATGAAATATACTGAAGAAAAGGCATGGACAAATGAGCTTTGAAAAGAAATTGATAAAAAATTGACTAGATTGGTTGTCTGTTTTTAAGTTTTTAAGTATCATGACAGTATTTTTTTTCACAAACATATATACATATTAAATTTCTCTGACAGGGGTGTGTGATACTGTGCTACTGAAAATGTCCAATATCAACTATGAAAAGATAGGATGGGCTAGTAGAATGTTTTAAAATCAACTTGAAGGGTAGTTTGTGAAAATTAAATTGTACACCTCAAAACATGAAAAATTAGTGGAGAATTTGTTTTCTTTCATCAAATAGGGACAAATTAATAGAATAACTTTGTTTTAAATATGGCACAGTGCATCAAATAAGCCGGATATATATTTGGCAAGGCCTATACATAGTTTCAGAATTTCACAAATAAAATATTTCAAATTGAAATAATTCCAATACTTGAATAATAATTATTCATGGAAAAAATGATAATGACCCAATTGATTGACTGGAGCATATTTGGATGATAATATCATAACATTTATAATTCAACTGTATTACTTACTGACACACTCAGGAGAATTTCAGATGGGTGGATATATAGGTGTCTCTGTCAGGAAAGTTTATTTGAGAAAAGTCATCTCTTCCACTTGTAACATATCAGGATGTGGTAATCCCACTTCATCTGCATACATGTAAGGCAAACAAGTTGGACATAAAATACAAATATTTTGAGCCATACAAGTAGGTAAATTCAAATTTGATTTTCATAGAATGATATTTTATTTTTCTCATATGAGTGGTTAAGCAATGTTATGAATGCATTAAGTGTATAGGTTTCCATACTGTTTTCTTTTTGGGAGAAGGCTTTATTGCATGAGAATAAATGTTTTTTATAAATGGTTCTGCCCATTACACACTTTCTATTCATAGATGGAGTTTTAAAGCATTTGGTCATTAATATCTTTATTCAATAAAAATTATACCTATTTTTCTTAATGTTCATGCTCATATTGTACAGCATTTTTTTCTTTTTTCCGATTTGTTCCATGCATCCGAAGAAATGCATCATACTTAAGAAAATGTGTCCTCACATTCTTCAGATAATGCACGTTGATATCATTGAGGTACAGAAAACATGACTTGCCGATTCACTAATTTGTGTTTTGAAACTGGAAGTCACAGCTGTGCACACCGTAACTCGTGTAAGTTTGCTATATATAGTATGCACCCCTTGTCCCACAGGTCTGAACCTGGCCAACAGTAAGCACGATTACTAGCCGAAGAAACGAGAAAGAAGTGACAGTTAATCGTCTATTTCTGCAGCTAGCTCACTATCACAAACATATACTTTAAACTACATGTCACAAATTTAAACACAGCCTACATGTCACAAATTTAAACACAGCCTACATGTCACAAGTTTAAACACAGCCTACATGTAACAAGTTTAAACACAGCCACCGTGTTTGTCATCCACCTTAGCGAATGTATCGGAAGTGTGCGCAGCAGAAAACGTGTAAATCCCTGTCGCTTCGATTTTTAAATCGATTTGATTATTTATTGATATCTAAAGTGTATAATATTGTTTGAATAATTAAGAGATAGTCTTGTAGTTTCTGTGGGTATATAATATATATATATGTTTTGGGAATAATAGAAGTAATATTTTTCATTCTTATATAGTAAATGAGATTTCCGTTTTCGCGCGAAACAGAAATAGAAGAGAAACATGACAGCTGTCGAAATCCCCGTTTTTCTCCCTTTTTATTGGCTAGAGGTTAAAGATCCAAATCCCAGCCGGCGACTTATTTATGACAATTAATGTTTTGACGGAAGCAACATTATAATTACACCTTACACAAGTTGGTGATTATTTATGTTTTTTACAAGCTGAATGGTGTAGTTATTAAATTTGTTCTGAACTGAATGTCATAGTTGATTAGCTGCTATTAACCATGTTCTATGATTGTCTTTTCTGTATAAATATGTTCTGGTAACTATCACAACAAAAGATGTTTGTAAATTCCTGAACATAATACCGATATAATACCTCATAATGAATACCACGCATAGAACATTCGATGTATGGTATTCGTTTTTCTTTTCTTTTCGTTAACCATATAATCATAATTTAAGTAGCAAAATACAACTCCGTAATCATAAATATTCTGGTATATATTAGAGGTATTTTTTTTAATTTCATTTAAAAACTAAATTGTAAAGCAGGTATTCTATATATGAATGTTGTTTTCCAGAATGCAGCAATACGAGGACTGACGTTGTATTCCTCCTGGACGCCTCAGGAAGTGTCGGATCATCTAATTTCGTATTAATGAAATTCTTCATTAAAAACATTACAGCAAAAATTCTGTTAGGCCCAACCGCCATTCAAGTTAGTGTCGTTACATTTGCCTCAGTTCCTAGATATGAATTTTGGCTCAATGAACATTATGGAGCATTAACGCTGAATCCAGCTATAGATTCAATCGTATACACCAACGCGGGGACATATATAGCAAGTGGTTTGCAGTACGTCAGGGATTATGCACTGGTCACTGCAAATGGAGCGAGAGCTGACTCGGAAAAGGTTGTAATTCTGATGACTGATGGACAATCCTTCGATAACTCGGCAACAATTGCCAACACACTCAGAAATGATAGTGTTCTTGTGGCTTGTGTGGGAATAGGTACCGGAATAAATACAGTTCAGTTAAATGAAATCGCATACAACTCTTCATACATATTTAATGCTACTAGCTTTAACGTGTTGACACAAATCAGTGATACCGTAAGGAGATCGACATGTGACCCGCCAAACAACGATTAATAACAAAGTTCATTTATAACTAAGGAAAATGAAATCTGGTTTTTTTTTAATACCGTACTGTGTACAGTAGCGTACAGTGGCCATGGGTGATATATTTGTACGAATAACCCATGTAATATTACAGGCATCAACATTAAAAAAAAATCAGCACTAAAATTGGCATATACATGATGAAGTGGACTATGTGGGCATCACATTTAAAAAAAAAAACGAATTTGGTTTGAGACTATATTTTTGGCCATTTGCAAATCTGTGTCTACACAACAAACGCTACCTTTTCATTTTGTCTTTTTTTTGTACTCAGCAAATGTGTAAATATTATGAAAAATCCATTTGAACGACCAATGCTAAAACGTGAGTATTTCTGTTACCGAGTAGGTGATATTCAATTTAAAACGGGTTTTATGAAAACAAATACTACTTTTGTGAGTCAAATGTTGTGTTAAAAATAATGTTTTATTGCCTTTTTTGGCGTTTTTTGATGTGGTAACCATGGTTTTCACAAGTCCTTAACATTGGGAAATCCCTTTTTGAAAAAAGATAAAAATTTCTAAAACGAAATGTATTCAAAATGTATTTCATAAATATATAGATATATGTAGGTGTGTTGTGCAGGATGAATCCGCTATCCATGTTTATCTGAGACATGCCCTTTATTTTAAGGTTCAAGCCATTTCTACTTTACCCTGCTACCTTATACATATAGATATTGATTTTTTCTGAATAAAATGCCTTTTTATACTTGATTCGGCTTCACTTAAAACTACTCCAAAACATTTAAAAAGTTACATATATAGGTCAATGCATAGGTCAATAGCCTATTATCTGTGGATGTATAAAGGGGGGTAACTCGCTCTTTTCAAATGCACTTCACAGTTCATCACATATGTGTCAATTGTGTTATTGGTAAAGTTGATACCAAACAACAAATAATGTACAGGCTATCTCCTGATGCATTCAGACTGGATTTCAGTATGTTTCACTCAGTTCAGCACCCGGTATCCATGGTTACTAATACATAAAGTTGTATTTATTGACAATGGGTCAAATGTCTGTTTTTATTCTAATTACGCTATTTTAAATATTATTTTCCACTTGATTCAGTATAGAGATTAAATTAGCAAAGTCAGCAATGTCAATACATTTTATTTCAATAATTACAGAAAATCTTTTATATCTAGCTTAATATGTTAAATGAACAACTTCTGGGGGTCACTGTCAATTCTAGGCGAGGAAAGTAAATACCGGTTGCTATGATGGCACTTCTCTGATTTTTCAGAATATCTGACATTTTTGGCGCTATTCATCTGTTACGGGATGTGTGGCTGTTGCTAGTTTGTTTGTTGTGATGGTTTTCCCAGTGTTCATTTTGATATCAGTGAGCCTTGATGATGTCATAGATGCCCATTGATGACGTCATAGTTATGATGACATCACAGTTACTATGACGTCATCAAACAAGACAAAAAAATCATAGTATCACTGTACTGTTTTTCACATGCACATGATCTCAAAGCATCATATTTCACCCAAAAAGAAATGTTATTCATGAAAACTACAAACCTATTCAAGCTTCATTTTTCAGATTACCTCCCTTTGTTTGTAGTTTGAGAGTAGAATTGGTAAAAAATTACCTGTCAGATGAATTCATATTACTCGGTCACTATTAAAGTGAGAAAGGAAACGGATACATCATTTTGTTCATTGCGTCATTTACCAGACATTTAAAAGATTTTAATTCAATTTTGGGAAAAAGAAAGTGATGTATAAGGTAGCAGTGTACAGTAGCGTACGGTGGCCATGGGTGATATTTTTGTTCAATGAATAACCCATGTAATATTGCATGTATCAAATTTTAAAAAAAATCAGCACTAAAATTGGCATATACATGATAAAGTGGACTATGTCGGCTTCACATAAATCGAATATGGTTTGAGACTACATATTTGACCATTTGCTAATCTGTGTCTACACAACAAAAGCTAGCTTTTTCTTGTAGTCTATTTTTGTACACAGCACATGTGTAAATATTGTGAAAATCTAGCTGAACGACCTATGCTAAAACGTGCGTATTTCTGTTACGAAGTAGGTGTTATTCAATTTAAGACAGGTTTTAAGAAAAAAATACTTCTTGCGTCGGTTTTCGGTTAAAAATCATGTTTTTTTTTGCATATTTTGGCGTTTTTTGATGTGGTAACCATGGTTTTCACAAGTACCAATTCTGGGGAAATCGCTATTTGAAAAAACAAAATTATTCCAATTTTTTTTATTAGAAATGTAGTTCATAAATATATAGAAATATGTAGGTGTGTTGTGCAGGATGAATTCGCTATCCATGTTTATTTGAGACATGCCCTTTAATTTCTTCTATTTACATTTCAGTATTTTTTATCGTAGTAACTTATGTCAAGGAAATATAACACGCTAGTATTCTGTACAGTGTTTTATTTCATAATTGTTATACACTTTATTATTTCACAATTACACAGGTATCATTCTGTTTCCATGTTGTCCTTTATCGACATATATAAAATATACTATGACATGGTATTTTTTTTATTCTGTACAATAACGTGGGTTGTTTTTACTCATATGTTATCGGCAGAGCGAAATAATGGATCGAAGCTAGATGTGTAGTAGGTACACCCTCCCCTTCCCATCGCAACCTCTATGACGCGCCAAGGGAAGCCTCCGATTGACTTGCATTATCATATGAAGTAGATTTAAATATTTAAGGTAAAATCTCAGCAGATTTGAGTTTAAAAGTGAGTTGGAAAATTACAGGAATCTCCCTAACTTGCACATATGGAAAAATGTCAATTATGCGAGTTAAGCGCTATTATCAAACAACAATCATCTTCACTAAAAGTGCCAAAACGAAACAGTAATACTTTAGTTGTAGGATGTGTAAAGTAGTTGTAAAATTTACAAAATATAGGAGTCTAGAATGATGCTTCTCAATATCTCTAAATTAACCATACCATCTACAGTCAATGTCTAATTACCTTATAACATGTTCTATTTAGAGAAACTGTTATTTGTATGAGATCATGATACCTTATTTCCACTAACATTAGAAATCTGTTATTTTTATCTTATTTAAAGACATTTTTGTATAAACAAGTTTACTCCAACCAATCCATAGTTCAATTACATTGTATCATCAACTCTTGTCCGCTCCAGAGACGGATAATAGCGTTTAAAGTGGCAATGCAAACCACCTACAATTTATTGTACCGTAAGTTTTGTAAACTGTTTTGTCATTACGGGAAGTTCTTTTGACTTCGACTCGTTGTATACTTCTTACCGTGGGGCGAAATACAGTGCGAGGAGTCGGAAGTAAATATCCTTGGAAAGCCTACAACTTCATACATTAGTACATTGCATTAGTTCAAACTCCTCGAACAAATATAGTAGACTGTTGTTCGTACTAGCATTAACTGAATGTACGTGATAAGTGTTGTGTATTGAGGGTTAAATGTTTAAATATCTGCCTTTATATAATGTAATGAAGTGAGACCATGTATGGTTTAGAAATGTTTGTGCCCTTAGAAGAAAACAATAAAACACCTATTTAATCGTTTTTATCACTGTTTCCTAAAAAATGAGTACTTCCTCTATACCAATACGAACAAAGGAATCCTTTGCGATTTATGTGATTAATGCTGACCGGTAAAAATTAATATAATTCTAACAAATTTAAATATTCCATTTGTGTAGTTTTTGTATATTTATTTATATATATTTGTTTGTTTGATTGTCTTTGTTTTGTTAAAGGACCAAATCCTACAGATGACATGGACTACTTTGCAGTGCATATGATATGCATGCCAGTCATTTCCACTCATATTTTCATACAAGTAACAAAAATTTATTCGATTTTCATGTTCTATTATTAACAAATATTCTTCTGTGTGGAATCCTATCTTTGTAAATAAATGATTGAATCACATACGGTTTTAATATTACGTCTAAAAAGTTTGAGCGTCGCAGGTAATGTTTTCATAAAGAGTGGCTAGTGTCGGAGCCCCCTACGGAATAGGAAAGTTTCTTTCGTGTCCGTTACTTGAGGTCAGACAAGCGACCGAGTTAATTCTACTGATCACATTGTAATATTTCGGATCCTATTATCCCCGCCCTTTTTGGGGTTTCTTTCGTTTCCCAGCGCTTTACTTGTAAATTGTTCGCTTGGCTGTTGAAGACTCGCCCATGGCAGGGATGTTATTTGTCCAATCCTCTCACCGATAAGTCATTAAACTGTCACCTCCCGCTCTGTGCTTGTCGTTCAGCTTTGTAGATGTCGGTGAGGACTGTTAAACCGCTCGTCAGTATAACGTGATTAGGTAGGGAGTCATGCCCCTGTGTCAAGGTAATGGTAATGTAATGAGATGCTTTTTGAGGTGACCAATCATCCGTGGATAACGTGCATCTATGACCTACATCACTGAGTACAGTATCCGTTTCTTACTGTTATTAATAGTAGATGTAATACCTTATTCCTTGTCATATGAGATTAACATCTTATTTCCTATGAAATTTAAAGTTTACCTACCTACTTATTACGACAATTGTCAATGATGGCCTGGTTAAAGCGAATAAACTTGAATAGCACAACCGGTTGTTGAAATATAATCACAGATAGGTTAACCAAATACAACCATTATACGCGTTCGGTTCGCGTCATCAACTTTATCACGCTTCATGTGATCTGAATGGTGGCGCGATGAGTTTGGTTCAACATTTATATATCATTTTGCCGATAAAAAAGGGTAACAATTTCAACCCTCGGCAAAAGATTGTTTAGTTTGCAAACTTATTTAAGTTTATTTAAGATATTTTGTGTGACAGTACATCAAACGAGAGTGATGGATTCTATTAATCTTTGCAATATTATATCAGCAAGTTGGATCATATTTGAGAAGATTATTTTGAAGCGATGTACCGCAAATCAACTTGTAATAGCTTTACTGACTATTTTATGTCCCCTTTTGTTATCTAGCATGTGTATCAGCTTACCACAATTAACCTTCACTTATAATATATATATATATTTGGTCGGCTTTTCATTCAGTGATAAACGTTTTAAGTAATGCTGTATAAAG